ATTTATATTTGCAGTTCACAGATTTGCATTTTTCCTCTACATCAAACGATCGTTTATATGGCACAGTCGTCCGATTTTCATGAAATTTTACACAAAATTTAAGACTAATATAAAATGGCTATACCTCAAACTTGATGAAAATCTGTTGAAAACTGAAAATGTTATAATTTTTTTTGTAAAAATTTTCCGGTCATTCCAATGGCAGCTATATGATATAGTCGTCCGATCCGGCCCGTTCCGACATATATACGAGTGAGAGTATATAGAAGGCTAACTACAAAGTTTCATTCAGATAGCTTCAAAACTGAGAGACTAGTTTGGGTAGAAACGGACAGATGGACAGATGGACAGACGGACAGACGGATAGACGGGCATGGCTAGATCGACTCGGCTGTTGATCCTGATCAAGAATATATATACTTTATATAGTCGGAGGTGCCTCCTTCACTGCGTTGCAAACTTCTGACTGAAATTATAATACCCTGCAAGGGTATAAAAAAAAGAAAGGGGAAAAAATCCTAAATAGGCTTATATTAGCAAGCTTAAAATCCTTATTTTTTGAGCGGGTTTTTGTGAGAAGAATTACTTTTGCAATAATTATATACAAGCATTGCTTGAAATATGTTAACTTTCTGTTATTTAAAAGCATACCAATTCTTAAAAATTTGCTTTACAAATATAGATCAACCTATTTTAATATATATTTTATATTGAGCAGTTTCGATCATCACCATTGTTTTGTTCTTTGTTTAGTAAGTTGTGCTAATTAAACTATTTTCGGGAGTTAAGTATACTTTACTATAAACAAATAAATGACACCATATCCCCGCTCGTCATGATCATCACGGCTCTTAAAGAGAGCTTGGAAGACTTTTCGAGATCAATAATAAGCTAGTCAACACGGCTAAGGGTATGGTAATTAAACAATAATTTAATATAAACCATATTTTCATGTATCTTGACTTTTTGGGCCTTGTTTTGGTTTCAATTATCAAGAGATATTTTATTAACGTCTTACCTTAATTAAAAAAACTATAATTTTTATGATTGCCACATCCACTTGATCAAAGTCTATTAACCACCAAGCACTAAATTAGTAATTTATATAAAAGAAGAAGAAGAAAACTAAACTTCCTCTAGCTAGAGCCTTGCTTAAGTGTAAGACTTGAGAATCGCAGAGGAGAGCGCTCTATGTACCAAATAATTAAACAAAGCCTATCTTTCAGTCGAAAGCTTGAAACTTAGTGAAGGAGTCATTTCCGATCCTATTATTCATACATATTCTTGATCAACATCAACAGCCGACTCGATCTAGCCATGGTTGCCACATCCACTTGATCAAAGTCTATCAACCACCAAGCACTAAATTAGTAATTTATATAAAAGAAGAAGAAGAAAACTAAACTTCCTCTAGCTAGAGCCTTGCTTAAGTGTAAGACTTGAGAATCGCAGAGGAGAGCGCTCTATGTACCAAATAATTTAGCAAAGCCTATCTTTCAGTCGAAAGCTTGAAACTTAGTGAAGGAGTCATTTCCGATCCTATTATTCATACATATTCTTGATCAACATCAACAGCCGACTCGATCTAGCCATGGTTGCCACATCCACTTGATCAAAGTCTATCAACCACCAAGCACTAAATTAGTAATTTATATAAAAGAAGAAGAAGAAAACTAAACTTCCTCTAGCTAGAGCCTTGCTTAAGTGTAAGACTTGAGAATCGCAGAGGAGAGCGCTCTATGTACCAAATAATTAAACAAAGCCTATCTTTCAGTCGAAAGCTTGAAACTTAGTGAAGGAGTCATTTCCGATCCTATTATTCATACATATTCTTGATCAACATCAACAGCCGACTCGATCTAGCCATGGTTGCCACATCCACTTGATCAAAGTCTATCAACCACCAAGCACTAAATTAGTAATTTATATAAAAGAAGAAGAAGAAAACTAAACTTTCTCTAGCTAGAGCCTTGCTTAAGTGTAAGACTTGAGAATCGCAGAGGAGAGCGCTCTATGTACCAAATAATTAAGCAAAGCCAATCTTTCAGTCGAAAGCTTGAAACTTAGTGAAGGAGTCATTTCCGATCCTATTATTCATATATATTCTTGGTCAGCATCAACAGCCGAATCGATCTAGCCAGGTCCGGCAAAAATTTAATTTTTTCAAATTTTTTGACAATTTTAAATTTTTATAAGGGGTATCGTTAAAATGGTGAAAAATGGACGAAAATTTGAATTTTTTTAATTTTTAAATTGAGTATGCAGATTTGTTACCGTAATAAAAACTGAAATTAACGCATTTTTGGCTTAGTTATGATATTTATTTAATATATGACCTCTTAATACTTAGCTAACTTCAAAGGTATTAAGAAAATTATTCATGTTTTTTTTTGTATATAAAATAAGTTTTTAAAATATGATTAGTGTACTTTCCTTGAACTTCTATGAGTAGGAATCCCTACAATATAAATTATATATATTTATGATTAAAAACAATGAAGTAACACCTGTTTTCATTTCATTCACCTAAACATATTATATTTGCAATTCACAGATTTGCATTGCACCTATATGATACAGTCGTCCGATTTTCATGAAATTTTACACAAAATTTAAGACTAATATAAAATGGCTACACCTCAAACTTGATGATGATCTGTTTAAAACTGAAATAGTTGTAAGTTTTAATTGTATTTGCAAACTTCTGACTGAAATTATAATACCCTGCAAGGGTATAAAAAAAGCATAAGGAAAATATATAATAATAAATATATATAAATATATATATATATATATATATATATATATATATATATATATATAAAATATATATATTTTTCTATGACAATTTTAACGACAAATCAAAGTTCTAAAAATCCATAACTCAACCAAAAAGGCATTAAATTTAATTCCGAAAGCATTCTTATGATAGTTTTTATTAGATTTATAAATCTGCATACTCCATTTAACATTTGAGAAGATTAAAATTTTTGCCAGTTTTTAAAAATTTTAATAATGTAACACCTTATAAAATTTTCAAATTTTGGAAAAATTTCAAAAATTTAGTTTTTAACCAGAAACGGCTAGATCGATTCGGCTATTGATGCTGATCAAGAATATATATTTTGGAAAAATTTCAAAAATTTAGTTTTTAACCAGAAACGGCTAGATCAATTCGGCTATTGATGCTGATCAAGAATATATATGATTTATAGGGTCGGAAATTATTTTTTCACAAAGTTACAAGTTCTGACTAAAACTATTATACCCTGTACTGGTTAAAAAAACGATTTTATTATTATATATTATTATTAGAACAAGTAAGAAATAAAATATGTCTTCGCTTCTTGCAAATGTAAAGAAATAGATAAGATTAGTATCTCAGTTTGCGTATATATCCGTATATCCTTTAACCCATATTAACGCTTATGTCTACACTGTTTCAGACTTCTGATTTAAATTATAGCCAATTTTGAAGGACAAAAATAAGTTATTTTGTATTAAAAATAATTGGGATGGTAAAAATATCTTCATTTTGTATGTATACAAATCAAAGTGTGTCTGTAATCTAATACCTTTTAAACTTTTTAAATCCCAAAATTTGTATTTACTAATTTAATAAGTAAATATTTATACAAAGAAAAGCCGTCGGTCTTAACTCAGCTCCATTGGCATTTACTGTTATGGCAAGACAATATATTAATTATGACACTTAATAAATAAATGGGATTGGAATAAGTAATCCCAACAATAAGTTTTAATTAAACAGAGTGGCACTTAGTCAATATCCCAAAAAATTATACACATACAACATTCTCCAAGTCAACCAACTGAAACTGGCTTCATTTTCATTCTCAGACTCGAATTAATTTCCAAATGCCAGCAAATTTATGCGCATTTTTATTTCCCTTACCCACGGTCTCTCTAGTTTCCCTAGTTTTCCTTTTCTTGTTTTATATTTTTTTGTTTCCCAAATTAATTGTTCGTTTTTCTTACAGCAAATTAATTGCAAACGCTTGACAATTAAACGCGGGCTGCCTTCGGGGGTCATCGTCATTAATGCTAACTGTGTGAGAGGAGGTTCTCCGAGAGAGGGGAGGGGCGGGGATGGGAGGTTTTTAGGGGCTTTTGGGGGAGCAGATGCCGCTGCTTGCGCCGCTGCCGACGTCATTTGAAGTTGTGAAAACTTTGCTTGCGAACCAAAAATACTAAATACAGTCTCGTTACAATCTGAGGAGCGTCGCCTGCTCCGTCTCGCTCGCTCGCCCCACGTCCGCCATCCTGCTCGCACACGAGGCGTATGATGAACGCCATAATTACCGTTACGTATACGCCACCATTGCTATTTTTTGTTGCTGTAGCCGATTGGTGCTAAGAGTCGCATAGAGCGAGATGGCAACACACAGGGGGCATAGATGGCTCTCGCTTTAGCCGGAAACAGGTTTCAGTGCTCTCGCCAGAGAGGCCAAGAGAGAGCAAACGACGCTAACGTCGACGCAGCTTGTTGTGCAGTTATGATTTGATTGCCGAGGCCAGGTTTAACCACCGACAAACAAGACACGAACGACACGAATAGAGAGAGGGCGAGATGCTAAGGAGCCGAGCGAGAGCGAGAGCGGGCGAGGGTGAGAAAGAGATGGGGCGAGGGAGAGGCTGAGGCGGCAGAGCAGAGAGCGGCGGCAGCAGCGACTGCGGCGGCAGCAAAAGAACTGAAGAAATATCGACGTGTCTAGTTAGCAAACCAATCTTCAATCTAGTTTCGAACAGTTGACTGCGAAGCGTCGAGTTGAAAGGTCCTATACCGTTGGATCAGTCGTTATAGTCGTGCCGATGATACCTTAGTTAGTGTTGACTAATCACCGCAAGCCATATCAACGAGAGTTCAGTGAACAAATACAGTTTAGTGCTCACCCAACACACACCCGACACACAAAGTCAAAGTAAAAGAAAGAAAGGAAGAACTCCCTGAGAATCCTTCAAGTGCTATATTTCGAACCTAAATGCTCTGCCCTCCAACCATGCGCCCGGCCAGTCCCGCCGAATCCGAGATCTCCGTGGGCGGAGCACCCAGTCCACTGCCCACGCAGCATCCTCATCCACATCCGCACCAGCATCCGCATCAGCATCCGCTGCACCATCCACGTGCCAGCACCATTGACCTGCTCCAGCAGCAGCAACTGCTGATGCAGCAACATGCCGCCGCAGCCGCTGCTGCCGCCGCCGCCGCTGCAGCAGCCGCCGGACTTAGCCGGAGTGCCGTCGGCGGTCTGCCGGAGGATTACTTCCAGCCGCTGAAACGTTTGCGCATGTCCTCGTCCTCGTCGGAGCCCAGGGAGCATACGCCCAGTCCGCCGGCCGCCGTGCCGGAGCCACAATCCGCCGGACAAACTAATACCAATACCAAGTCGGCCATCGAGGGCGTCAAGAGCTTCTCCATAGCGGACATTTTGGGTCACTCGGAGAAGCAGCGCGAAGAGTCCGTCTCACCGCCTCCCAGCTCCAATCTCCTTGCACCGCCCGCCTCGCGTCCTGGTGCCACTTCCGGCGGTGTCTTGCAGCCGCGCACGGAACCTCTGGATGTACATCCGGCGGCAGCGGCCGCCATGCTGCTGCCCAGCGGACAGATTGTCCGGCCCTGGGATCACCTACTGGGTCCGGCCATGCCCGTTCGCCCCTTTATACCCTCCGCCCTCTTGCACTATGAGCAGCGCCTGGCCCTTGACTACCATCGCCAGCTGCAGGAGCATTTCAATGCCCAGGCCCAGCTGTTGCGGCACATGGGCATGGACATCATTCCATCGGAGAGCGGCTCGGACCGCTCCAGTTCGGCGGCCAGCGATTGCTGCTCGCCTGAGATTGCCAGGGATTCGGCGGCTGCAGTGGCTGCTGCCTCCGCCGCCGCTGCCCGGCACAGCCACAGTCCTCAGTCATCAGCACACCCAGGAGCCAGTGGAACCAGCAATGCAGCGAGTCCATCGCAGGGAGGAGCAGCTGGAGCGACGAGTGCCAACAATGCTGCCGCTGTGGCCAAGGCCAAGGCGAATGGCACACCATTGGATGCACTGTTCCAGATGACCACCAAGGACTTTGACGAGTCGCAAGGTAAGCATCCCTGAAAGTAATCATAAGAGGGTTTATTTGGTAGCGGTACGGGATATGTTATTTGGTTTGCTCAAGACCCCATTGATAAATGTCTCAATTTCCGTAATGAATTTACGCGATTTCTTAATTAGAATAAAAGCTTCCAATTTGTTAGCATCGAATCGAACGAACAGCAGCTGGATATTCAGCTTATTATGATGATGTTTTGCCATTTATCAATCAGCAAATTCGAATTTCGTTTAATTGAAATAAATGTTCCCATTCCCCTCTCTGTCCCCTCGCAATTTTGGATCTTTTGTTATGTAAATTCCCCAAAAAACCGACTCAATATTTGGGCATTTAATTAATTGCCAGCATGCGCCACTCACACAAGCCACAAAAATTGAGATACATTATAAGACCAGAGAACTTTGTTCTTCAAACTTTGGATATGCAATCATCTAGAGCGAAGTATAAGTGCCCTTAAAACCCCCCGATACTTATCCGAGCTCATTTAGTGGGCGTTTTAGTACTACATAGTACTCCCCGAACTCCATGCAGTGATTTCATGGCAATTAATGGTTAATAGTCGCCCCAACTGTCCCGCATTAGTTGTATACTTGTGTAGTCGTGTCGATTCTGCAGCGATTAGCAACAATTAGCTGTGCGGTGCATTACCTAATCGAGTTTTGTTGTTGCTCGTCGAACAATTAACATGCCGTTTCCATTTGTTGCTACTCAAAACTAATGGCCAACTCTAGCCCCGACTAAATAATATATAGTAGTGGTGCTTGGTTGATTGGTTGGTGGTTGAGGCTCCTCGAGTCGTAAACATGTTTTAAAATACACTGAACGGGCGATTAGCGACGACACTCGGCCGTTGTATAATACTGTATCTTTGGGGTATTAAGTTGACAAAATATACACATATTTCTGTTTATCGTGGATTGTATAACGCGTAGATGAAATATTTACAACGCATCGCATCCATGGAAGTTTCAACTTCTGGAGGCGTCGCATCGTTTGTCTATCAACAGTTTAGGAGTTGCTTCTACGATAGGCAGCTGTGAGGATATTAATTTATGAGGAGTGGACATTAGCATCACTCGCACTCGGGTGTAGATATAATTACCCTGAAACATAGCATATTCCTTGAAGGCTCACTCTTGTGGTTATATACCAACTGGCTTCTCGAGAGCAAAAGTCTACCAGACGTTCTGTCGCCTAATCCTAATTGCAATTCTCAGTATTCTCGCCAAATTAAAACATAAAACTCCCCAAGGAACAACTGTTGCAGGTTCCTTGAAAATCGATCGGGTTTCCCTTACTTAAACATACGGTGTACTGAACATCATAACAAAACTCCTCCTAACTAAGGACCAGAATTTATGCCCTGTAAGTGGACACCTGAGAGGGGAAAAGGATACCCAAGTGGCCAGGCCATTTCTCTTGAGCTCTTTCTCCCCCCTCAGCTCTAGGAGATAAGTCAGGGAAATTACTTAATGAGTCTCCGATAAAAAACAAATACAAAAGAGCCCAGGAACAGTCTGAAGAGACAGAGGGTAGGGACATAGGGAGAAAGGCTCTGGAGAAAGAGAGGCGTGCAGTCAAGTGCCTAATGGGTTTTGGGTTACAAAACGTGCTCGAGATAACAAATGACCAAATTATGCGTTTGCATTTCAAATATGTAGATATGTATATGTAAAACGGGTATACCCACACTCATGGATGGTATCTGGCCTGTCCGGAGACTTCGTTTGCATTCGGTTGGAGGGCATTTAATTAGTTTTTAATGTCGATCTAGTTTGTTTGACAAGCAATCGGAATGGGTGTGAAGCTGGACCGGTTAGCCAATATTCAGCAATCAATATTCAATATTCAATAAATACAAATATATATATGTATATATATATGCTGATGATCATGCCATCACATTGTTTGGATCGAAATCGCTTTGATTGGCACCGCTTCTGGGCACTGGGCTTGGGTTTGTACCAGGAAACGTTATGCAAACACAATCAGAGCTCTAAGTACGGGTCAGTGGCTCATTAATCAAGCGGTGTGCCACTTAAAACTGATTTGTAGGTGTCAATAATTATTATAAATCACACCGCAAACGAGACAAATGAGCAGCAGCCGCCTTGCCGCCTTGCATAATGCCCGAGAAAGCTGAGCTGGCGTCATTAGAGCCACCAGCCCAATGAACGCCCACAAGCCTGTGCAATCAATCAGCGGGAAATTATATACTCCAAGTCGAGAGCCGAGACTAGAAACTGCAGCTGCGTTCGCAATTGCATTCATCAAATGTATCAATTGTGGCATTTGAATCAACACTCGCTCGGCAATTAAAGCCAAAGGCAAAGTTGCTTGTTAGTAACCGGTTTAAGGCCGATGATGAATCGGGGAATTCAGAGCTACAAACTAAGTAAATGAATGATTCCTAATCTTAAGTTTTAATTGTGATTAAAGCTTGAAACTAACTTCCTTTCTTTCTCCTTCCTAATTCCAGATAAATCCCACTTGGACATCTTCTCGAACCGTCCGCAGCCGAAAAAGAAGCGCAAATCCCGCACCGCCTTCACCAATCATCAGATCTTTGAGCTTGAGAAGCGTTTCCTGTACCAGAAGTACCTGTCGCCAGCGGATCGTGATGAGATCGCCGCCTCTCTGGGCTTGTCCAATGCCCAGGTGATCACCTGGTTCCAGAACCGCAGGGCCAAGCAGAAGCGCGACATCGAGGAACTGAAGAAGGATTTTGATAGCGTGAAGGTCTTCTCTGCTCACAAGTCCTTCTTGGAAAATGTCAACGACTTGAGCATTTTAAAGAAAAAGCCCATGCACGAGGCTGATATGGTGGGTCTGGCCGCTGCAGCCGCTGCTGCTGGCATGGTGGTCCCGGTGCCGGGATCAGCTCAAATGGGCGGAGCACCGCCCAAATGAGGGCGTGGCCAGGTGCGCACCGAACCGCCAAGGCAACCCAATGATTGGTACAGAAAGTGAGCAATGAGGAGACGAGTATTTTGTTTAATTTTGAGTCGAGTGCCCTGGGAGTTGGGTGAAGCTATCCCCCAACGGATATACCCAAGCACTGGACGATGGCCAAAGGAAGGGCCAGGACACCCCACCAAGTGGTGTCCTTGGCCAGGAAATGGAGGGCAAAGGCAACACTCGAAGCCAGCCCCGATTGGAGATAAATCCAAGAACTTAGCCAGGACCGAGGCCCTCTTATGGGCCACTGAAAAAGCCAGAACAATCACAGCCGGAAACGGAAGTGGATATGGAACCAGCCAGAACCAGAATCCGGCATTAAAGCCAGGATCACAACGATTAGAACCATCCTAAATCGGCTCTTTTCAGAGCCACCAAATATATTCACAAAGAGAATTAAAAATGATTTAATATATTTAATATTGTTAGTTTTGAAAATCCTTTTAAATGATTTGAATTTACTATTGACTTTTGTTCTGCATCTATATTAAAAAAAAAATCCGACAGATATAGATTGATTGAGCCAGTTCCCTTGGCCAAATCCTTCCTAAAGAAATGATTGGAAACGTAAATTGTTCCTGTTTGCAATAATGTACAGATATTTTCATACAATATATACTATTAAATATCCCTTAAAAAAAATTTAAAGTCACTAGAGGTTACTTTTATAATTTTTCGTGAATCCCAAACCCTCACCTCAACGCTTCTCCTTTGTTATTAACATATATTTAATTGCATACATTTTATATTAATTTATTTAATAAACCTTTCAAAACTTTAAAACAAATATTAACATCCAATCCCCGAAAATTCGTGCAGTTAAGTTATCGATTTTACTCTCCCTTCATTTCCTTCCCCAGCTGAACAAATTATATTTGTGTCATTGTTTAATAACCCAACCAATTAGCGTTCAAAAGCTAAATCTGTTTCACTCCAATTAATAATTTTAAGGCAGACAAAGGGAAATACAAAAGACCGCAAATTCTTGTCAATAAATTTAAGCATATTTAAGCAAACAATGCTCGGAGTCGAGAGCAGAGCTTCCATTCGATCGGTCGGTGAGTTCAATTCAAATTTTTGTATATCTGTATCTCGATTCGATACCAATTCGAATACTCGAATTTGAATATTCTGCTTCGATCGATCTTAATGATGTTGCTACGTATTTTGTTGAAGCTGATGCTGATGCTGAGTGGCGGAGTCTTAAAATAAAAGAAATCTTTTTTAATTTTTATTAATGATTATTTACAACCGTTATTCATAAATTCAAACTAATTAATTATTAATTTAATCACTTGCCACGAACGAAAACGAGTCGGGGCAAAAAGCGAAAATAAATACAAAACACAAAAAACCCAAGTGTCTAAAGCCGAGCGTTGCTGTGACTCGCTTTGCAGATTTGTGCACGGCGCCAATTTGCATACGAAATTTACTCGAAATTATTTCGATATTTATTAATTTTCGGTGCGATGATCATTTTCATAAATTTCCAACTGGAAGCCGGCTGCTTTCTGGCTACCGTTTGCGGCAAAGTTCAAAGGTAACCCCATCGTCGCCAGCGGCGCACACATTTTTCACTCTCGAACTCCAAAAGCTAAGAAACTGAGAAGCTGAGAAACTGAGAAACTGGGAAGCTGCGAAGCCGAGAAGATGACCTGCGAGCTCTCCGCAACTGAAGTGCGCCATCAATCTCGATCTCGATCGAGACCCACTCTCAAGCCAAACCGACGAACTTGGCCAGCAGCCGATCGTTTGTTAATCATTTGAATAATCAAGCTATCAATTCCGCTGCTAATGATGCCCGATACCGATCCGACCAACTGGTCTGTTTTAGCTCCAAAGAGCCCCCGAACCCGAACCCGAACCCACTCCCTCGGTGTCTCTCACAGTTCGTAAACTAGATGGGAAAAGCCTCGTGCATATGGATGAGATGCATATCGACCACGATCCAAATCCAAAACTCAGTTAAAGCCAATTTATTTTCATTTCCAAATGTGTGACAATGCAACGCATGCGCCGCGATAAAGAAACTTTTAGTGCCGACAAACCCTAGGAGCCCCTGAACCTCCTGAACTCGAAACTATTCCGTCCCCTGGGATCTGGGCGTTATTAGTGCTCGCTTGGAAAGTAGTCCGGGGAAAGTATCATCGAATGAACAGCATTTAATTGAAATTGAGTTGTAGTACAGATTAGTGGAGCCATTACCGGTGCCACTTGGTCTTTAGTAGCTGAGAAAATTCGCTGGCAAATCGAAAGGGGAACTCTAATTATGGGAAAATCTCTCGACACTTCCGTGAAAACAAACAGAAATGCGTAAATGTCGAAACCCATTAATAGAATCAACTAAAAATGACTAATGAACCTACCGCACGATGAGTGGAAGTGCCTTATGAGCCATTTAAGCGGGCCTAATTAGGCCAGATGTGAGCACAAAATCGCTGTTACCATGATTGTTGTGTTGTAAGCAAGTTGGGAACCCGTTCAACTGTTAATAGAATTAATAGTTTTAGTTTTCTAGGAAAATATTGTAATGTAAAGGCTAAGACAAGAAAGGGAAATGGGTAGGAGAAAGACGAATTCCTTTATTTGTGTTCTCTATCCTCTCAGAAAATCTGATTAATTACATCGTATTAGTTTAATATAAAGGATTTTGCAATACGAACACTTTTTGGCTCTCCTGGACTCCATCTTTAAGCCAAAGAAGAGCCACTTAGTGGCTCATAAAACCATAAAATATGTGCACATTTGAATGGTGTTCTTTGCGAGATATTGCCTTTATATTATTTGTACATTTTTGAGATATACTTTGAATAAAGAGTACATTATCCTTTACCAATGCCTTCATCAGGATTCTTTCTGGATTATTCTTATGATAATAATAACGTCAGAGCAGCCTCAAAAGCCGTTTTTAGGAACCAGGACCCCTTTTTCTTTTTTTTTGGCTGCCTGATTCTTAACTAAATGTGTTGTCTTCCCTGCTCAGCCATATTGTCAGCAATTACTCAACGTTTCCCCTGTCAGGTGATCAAGTGCTGGATGCTCTCACACTCGCACAAGCAGAGATCGTCGGAAGACCTACATCAAGTGCCAGTCTCGGATGTAGATGCAGATGTATCTGAGGGATGTGAGGAGCCCCAAGTGGTACTGGTACTGGTACTGAGACTGGGACTTCCAGTTTAACTGGCGCCGCGTTGCCAAAAGATGAAATGTGGCCCTCGCGGCGGTTACAAACGATTCGAGTGCTGATTATGATAAATGTAAACAATTCAGCTTGGCACACAAATGCAATCAAAGGACTGAAATTACAACTTAGTTGCGGGGAAACCAGTTTGGAGAGAAAGACCGGGACGTGCTCTCTCTCACACACTCACTCACACTCTCTCACTCTCTCTTTTTGCCCCCCAAAGAGGCCCTGGGCCGGATAACATCCGCATCTCTCTTCCTGCCGCGTATCTATGTGAGCGGCTGGTTGGGCATGTGTGCGTGTGCGATAGAGATATAAAAGCTAAATTGGTAACTCATACTTAATTTGTTGGCGGCACCTTTGAACATGCTTCCAATTAGCTTACAGCCGACACCTCGGGCCGGTGACTTGGCCAAGTATCGGGCCACAAGGATAAAGCCTTGGCCGCATGGAAATGATGCAGCACAAAAGGGGGAAAACCTGGGATACCAAGTGATAGCAATTTGTATTTCTTTTTTTTTCGTTTCTGAATCTGATTCATTCATCCCGGCATCTTGATCGTGATGCGGCATATTTCGATCAAAGAATCAACAAAAAACCAAGGGAGGAACAAACTCACTACACATTTATTTCGAATTATGAATGAAGTTCCCCCGCTTACAGGCGTTAATGAAGTTATAAGTTATGAAAAGCAACATTAAAATTTTAACAAAACAAGCTCGTAGAAAGACCACCAAAGAGAAACGACTAATTTTATTTATCTCCCAGAGGACAAAGAGTTGGAATGAGTCAATGTATAACATTACTTGGCTTAATTATTTAGAAAAAGATTTACTTCTGTTCCAAAATAGAATTCCCAGCACATATTCTCCAGTTGCATTAGGACCAGATATGATAATTCCTCAATCTGGTAGCGGCTAATTTATCTCACGATAAGATCACACACCAAGAGCCGCCATCACATTCCCATCTCCGATCGGTGATCTTCCATCTCCCGAGGGCCATCACAATCAGCCACTTAGCCCCAACTGGGGGGAGAACACACACGGAGGCGCCTCCAGCAGCAGGTTCAGTGTCCGTCACAGAGATCTTATTTGCCGGACACGTTCGCGGACAAAGATGGGTCTCTGTTGCTGGCGAGTCCACTTAATTCATTTGATGGCAATGAGTTGACGCCAGCCGCTAAAGCTGTACCGCTACATCATCGATAAGGCAGGGGACAGATATTTGGGAAAATCAAAAGATTCACAGCTCCTACGAGCCAGAGAAAGAGTGTTAATGGATGTCACTTTAGTTGGATCTCATCGCATCTCCCCCAAACCACAACCACACTCTCCGGTTGCGATCTACCTTTTGGCTGACATTAAGCTTCATCAGACATTCAACTCGATGCTGAATTAGCATACAAATTACACACGAGCACTAGCACTCAGAAAATGCTTCGGTATTCGGGTTTTTGGTTTTCGATCTTTTCGATTTTTCTGACCACAACAAAAAGCCGACACAAATTTTGCCCCCAAACGCTTCCAAGTGGCAAACGGCTACCGATTTTATTATTGATAATGTTTTGATTTATCACAAAGATATACAAATTGCCACTGCCCCAATCTTGAGGTCCATTCTGTATCTTGCCTCAGGGCGCGGCACTTTTTGTGTCTGTATCTGTGTGTCTGTGTATGTATGTATCTTGTGGATAAACGCTGGGATATTTCATTCGAGACCATAATTTGTATGCGGTAGCCCGAAATTCGGTTGTTGGTGTCATTCCCATGTTTCCATTGTACATATGTCTGCACAGCAAAAAAATAATATCCAAAGAAAGTTTTGGGTTCTGAGGAATAAATTTGTTAGAGAAACAGGACTAAGGAAAGGAACGTTATTTTATAGCAAAAATATTGAAGGGAGCAGGCCCCCTGCTGATCGAGTACATATTTGTTTGAGAGATTTAAAAAGTCAAAGGTCTTTAAATACTACACTATTTTCTCGAAGAGTTTTAAATCCCATTTCTAGCAGTGTTTTCTTGCGGCTTTGAAGGTCTACTTCTGATGACCAATCTCCGGCAGTGGCCCTGTCTTAATAGACGCATCCGATCCGCATTGACAAATGCTGTTCGTCGCGTTCAGTAAATTGTTTTCGACATTTTCAAGTCGCATTTGTGGTCGAAATCTGCATAATGAGTTGGCAAAACGCTGACAGCTGTCCAAAGTGTCGAAGATTATTCGATGATAAGGCGAGGATCGCTTTTGCCCATCACAGAGGGAGAGAGAGCCTGCAGTCATAAGCGCATTCGTCACAGAATTCGGTTTTTAGTTTTCCTCCTCTTTTTTTTTTTGTTTTGTTCGGGGTGCAGCTGAAAGGTTGAGGTTGAAGTTGAGGATCGGATCGCTGCGAGCTGGCTTTAATTGGCATGCAGTTGGGCTCTGTTTTTGGGAGCGTTGATTGTTGACAACTGGCTGGCACAACTTCATCATCGTCAGGGGCAGAGGAACTCGACGAGACAAAAGGCGACATTAATGCATTGCCAGCAGCCACTTTTGAGCCCGCCGAAGGGGCGTGACAAATTTGACACAACACACAGCAATGACTTTATTACCAACTGGGTTGACTCCTGCTCCTGCCCTGCTCCTGCCCTGCTCCTGCACCCCGGCACGTTGTATACAAAACACGAGTGCGAATACGAGTTTCGAGGACCGTGGTGAAGAGCCCTCTCCGGGGATTTGGGCTTGCCAGATGCGACAATAAACACTTTAGCTATTTATGAGGTTTTAATGAACACCGGCGAACCGGCGATCGCCATCTTGCCCCTCTGCCTGATGAAAGGATATAGAGCCGATACATTTGGCTTATGAATTTGCAGAATTAGAGGCGTGCCGAATCGTTTGAGGGTCTCTCTGAATACCAGTGTCAGTTTGTCGCTCTGTCGGTCCAAGGGGGTTTTCTAGGGGCGATGGCTAATTGTGATTGACAGGGCGTGTCGCTCCTATTGAGGCGCCCAATTAAGAGTCATTTCATAATTGATTTTAAATACGAATGCGATCGCAGCGATACCGATAGCGAACGCTCTCAAGGGAGGCCAATTTCCCTGAAATGAAAGGCGCAAAACAACATTCGAGGCATTCGCGTCCATCAAGTCAGTCAAGTGCAGGCATTAATCAAACAACGCGGCCATCTTGCAACCAAGAAGGGGAAGGGAAGGCCAAGAGGGTTCCACATGCAAATGCCAACAACTTTGGCAGCGAGAAAGGAAAGCCACACCGTACTAGGTATACCCTTTCAGGATAATGCTCTAACTTAAGGTTTTGAAGAATAAAATGCACATTTTGTGAGATTACTTCGAGATGCTCTCAATAGGAAGCATCTAATTCACATTGGATAGTATCTATAGGAAAAAGAAACCCTTCTTTATGTACTAGCTAAACTCGTATCACAATTGAGCTTCTTTACCAAAGTTTACAGTTTATATTTAATATTTAAACGTCATATAATTTGCAATATACCCCAACAACAACCATTATTTAAAAATAAACAATTATACCCTTGTTTCAGAGAGCAGGGAAAGACGAGTTAGACCCTATTATCGATTACGGCTCAGCAGTTACATCATTTCACTTAGCCGGCGCAGCTCTTCACTCACATTTCCCACCAGCAAAGGGCGCAATGCAGTTAAATAGACATTTGCATGCAAAATGCAAGGAAAGAAATGTGAAGTAAAAAAAATAAAACCAGGACAAACAGCGGAGTGAAATTGAATAAAAAACTGACACTGACAAACAAACGAAGCGCGGCATGGCGTACACAGGGCGCATACGTGATACAACAAGCGGACCAGAGTTGCAATCAATTTGGAAATGCATTGGAGGTAATTTAGAGAGTGGGAAATGGTGGAAATCGCAAGACAAACGAATGTGTGCCAACTGAAGGCACTGAGAGAAGAACTAATGAGATATGTTTTTAGTTTGGTATTTAAATAATTACTTTTACTATTACACTATGAGCTTCATTTTATGTTATGTTATTCCTTAACATTTTAAAAGTTTAAAGACGATATAAATAAAATCCTTTGAAAGCAATTTAGAGATTTTATTCGATTATTCGATTATTACAAATTATTACAAGCATATCTGTGCATTGGAACCACATTTCCCATAGCCATAAAAGAAACTGAAAAATATCTAAATATTTTTAAAAATGTATTTCTACCCTCCAATTTCTATATCCCTAATCTATTATAATGCTGCCTTATTCCGGATATATTCTCCTTAATTTTCTGCCAGTGCCCAGAGGTCTCGAAAAGTCGAATTCAGTGGAAAATAGATGAGGAGCCAACAACGGTACAACGAGACATCATTATTGATGACAATTGAGTGGGCCAAAAGAGAGCTGCGAAGCAGCCGGAGAGAGCCAACAATTACGATAATTAACGCAGTCAGCCGCCTGGAAACGCAGGCGGAGAGAGTGCGAGAGGCCAGCGAGAATTAGACAGAGAGGGAGCTAAAGAGTGGGACAAGGAGAGATGGTGAGAAAGAGCGCATGTCAAATTGTACAAATTGATGACGTTCGCACACGTTGACAGCGACTTTCAGGGGGTTAAGGGGGGCCTGAAAGGTATTGGCCGGCTGCCATTGGTCCGCAGCTTACTCGCTCGCTCTCTCTGTCTCTGGCTGCCACGCCCCCTTTGCCAGAGTGAGGCGGCATTTCCAATTAGACAAGCAGCGCAGCTGCGAGACTAGTGACGTCATCGAAACCAGTTAGTAGCTCCCAAACCGGTCGAGAGAGAGAGAGCTCCCAACAGAGAGTGTGGCTGGGAGAGAGAGCAGCAAATAGCAGCGAATTTCGGCCACGAGCCATTTTCGTTGTTGGTGTTTGTGTTGCACGTTGTGCCGACGATTTACGTGTGGCTGCCGCGCGTTTTTGCCGACGCGTTTTTAATCGCCATTCAACAGAAAGTGTATCTTGAAGATGCACTAGGACCTGGTAGTCCAAGCAGCCTGAAGATGCCTCAGCGAACGCCCAGTCCCGCGGAGTCCGAGATATCGGTGGGTTCACCCAGTCCTCCGCCGCCCATGATGAGATCCTTGAGCATGAAGCGTTTGAGGCTCCTAAGGAGTCCAGTGCCCAAGTCTTCGCCGGCTCGCATCAAGAGCTTTTCCATAGCCGATATCCTGGGACGTGGAAGGGATGAAGAGCCTGCAGATACAGCTCCAAATGTGGCAGCTCAGCCGCCGGGTGTACCTTCTCCTGCTCCTGCTCCTGTCCCAGCTGTTGCTTTGCCCGCTGCTCCACCCGCTGCACTGCATCCTTTTCTGTCTCCCGCCCTGCTGCACAGCTATGAGCAGCGCCTGGCCTGGGACTATCAGCGTCAGCTTCAGGAACACTTCCATGCGCAGGCCCAGGCGCACCTGCTGCGCCAAATGAGCCAACTAAATCCCGCACTGATCATTGCCTCCGAGGATGGCAGCTCCGAGAGATCGCAGCGTTCCAGTAGTAGCAGCAGCAGCAATGGCAGCAGCATCGATTGCTGCAGTCCCCCAGGGCAGGCGGAGAAGCAACCAACTCCAGAGGGAGATAGCCAAGGAGTGTCCAAGAAGAAGTCAGAGGAGGCGCCTGCGGCAAAAGGTGATAAACCCCCAGCTGGAGATACCCCGCTCGATGCTCTGTTCCAGTTGTCCACCAAGAACTTTGATGAGGAGCAGGGTGAGTAAGAAACACTTTAGGTATATTGTTTATACAGCAGATGTGGTTTTTTACCTTTTAATAATTGTTTCATAATGGTTTTTATGAGTGCCAAATGAAATACAACAACAAAGTCTACAGGTCGTTGGTTAAAAGTGTTCTTTTACCAAAATACCTCATGACAAGGGTTCCCTTAATTATAGAGTTTGGTATAAAACTTTAATATCCATATTAATATTACCCCATTTTTACTGTTTTATGACCTCCATTTTATATTTTATAATAGTTACAATAATTTATCCTGCAAGTTCATTAAACAATAACACTTAAAAGTTAAAATATGTAAAGAAACAAGCCCTAAATTAGCTTATATCCCTCTTACACGACCATCATAATTGTGAACTACATTCTGAGTGCATCTACCTATGGGTAAAGGAATATTCCTCTTATTTCCCTCCACAAGCTAACCGCAAGCAAATTACATTTTAATATAAACTGATTTCCCAACGAGACCCATCATAACCATTAGCCCGTCCAGCGATTGATCAATTGTTGTCATTACGTCTTGATGAGATTCTGCTTAAGGCGTAAAAACAGTAGTGAGGTCAGTCGGGCCGGCCGAGGTGGCTAAATCAATTTCAGGCCAAGCCAGGCCCGGCTGGCTGGCTGCTCGGCTCACTCTCGGCATCGCCTTTGATGGCGATTGCCTTTCCCAGACCCAAACCCAGACCCATACCCATACCCAAACGCTATACTCAATGTTGGATGCTGTGGATGCTCGCGATCTGGCTGATGGCTCCGGCGCATGCGTATCGTTCGGCATAATTTGCTTAGCGGCGTTGATTTCTCGTTAAGTCGCAGACGCGAACCGATTCATTCAACACTTGGAATAAATGTTTGGCAACGATTTCCAGTATTAATATTAAAAAAAGAGGAGTATAGAAGCTTAACAAATACTTCAAGAGAACATAAGTGAAAAAGGCACAATTATAAATCATACAAATGTACCATATTGTTTTATTTTTATGTCCTATATATCTACTCTATTCCCACATTATCATTTTCTTTCTCATAGAACATTTATTATTTAATGCTTAACCTCAAAAACTACTTTGTTTACTGAGAGCTACTCCGAGAACTGTCTTAAATTAGACAATAGATATATTCAGATGTTAGGTATATATAGCTACCTGTAATATCTCTTAAAAACATCGTTTTAAAAACATCCTACAAAGCCTTAAATATATTTCAACAATAGCTTAGTAATCTCACAACTTAAATTTAACTTTGCCAAAGTATCTCAATATTTTTCCCCAAGTGCAACGGTCAGTAATCCATCATGGTCTGCGCCTCTTTGTTCATCTGCTACTGAAATTGAATTTACGCAGCGCACGTACAACTGGCAATTGGTTCGTGCTCCACTCCAGACCGCCGGATTGCCCCACAGAGCCATCTAATCAGCATCAGCTGATTTGATCGGTTGATCAACTGCTACTGGCATTGAGTGCCAGCCAAGAGATGATTATGATTATCACACAGATGCTGTGCCAGAGCAGGCTCAGCTTAAGCGCCGTAGTTTGCGAAAATTGCATTTTCCCAAGACAGCATCCGGTATGGGGACGATGGCCCTTCCTTAACCATTACATTAAGCCAGAGTAATGTTGGCCGAAAGTAACCAGTCAGGATATATGTACATGTATGTAGTAGTATGGGGCACTTCCGGCTGGTAATTAGGAGCAGCGGCAACTCCCATGCTCTGCACTTTGGAGTGCTCACCTGCTCATTGCTCATGACGATTGTCAGCAGATAAACCAAAGTGTAGCCCCACATACAAAATAATTACAATGAAAATGGCTGAAAAGTTGCAGCCATTTGAACAATGAACCTGTCGTTAGGTCTCGTCAATTACAACCACAGCAGATTGTGTTTCTGCCGAAGATTGGGCACTCTTCAGAGACTTTTGCAGTAGGAATGTACATAGAAATATAGAAGAGAAATGTCCTATATGGTATATCAAAAAAGAAAATCGTTATAATAACGAATAGATAGTAGACTGTCATATATTGAACTTATAATTATCAAAGGGTATCCAATCTACTCTAAATAATAATCGACATTAACAACACGATTTCAAAAATTCTATTTAATATACATCCTTGTCTTATTTAGATTAGATTTGTTTGAGAATTCAAAGGGGATAGCAATTTATTATACATATTTCTACGTTTATATCGATTTCCAGTATTACATACGCTCCAGTTATTTAAAATATTAGCTTTTATAAAACCCAAACACCTTTTCCAATAGCTATCTGCCTATCAAAGTGATCAGTTCTGATACGATTCCCCATTAATAAAATTATTATATCAAATAAAGAATTATATTCCCCATTTTTCACACATTCTCTATAAATATTTTCATTCATATAAAGTAAGTTTTATGGCTTTAAACACACCTAAACTCTATATAAACCATTTCCCACATAGAAATGCAAGTTTGATCACATTGCTTACTACTCCCCTTTGGAAAGGGTAAACTCATAATTGCAATGGACCAAAAGGGGAGGCAAAATGAGCCCTAAGGAAGCCCATTCCAAAAGGGGTGATCAGCACGGGTTGCCGCTGTTAAAAATGTTGGCTTGATGAAACGCCAAGACAATTGGCACAGACAGCCGCATTATTGAACGCACGGCGAACGCACAAACGGCACAAAGCAGCGGCGGATGCATCCCTAATTACAATTTAATTACTAAACTTTTCCCACTTGACAAAAGGCGGCGGAGCAATGGCAGTGGAAGAGACCAGAGACCAGAGACCAGAGACCGGAGACCGAAGACTGCTACCCAGCGGAGCATGAACCACAAAACGCACCACAAACAGATACATAAACTCCCCGAAAAACTCAAACTCACAGATACATACATACATATGAATGGCGGCCACAATGATGATGGCACTTCGGGTTGACAGTTGATTTGACAGATAGCAGTGTAAACATTTTACAACATGCGGGTCGCGGGGCGGATCCGGTCGGGGCGGGGCGGGGCAATGTAATAAAAAGTATTATGCGACCGGAGAGTGCAAAACTAATTAGTTCAACTAGACGTATACTTAATTTCGAATGGGAGTAAAGTCGAAAATATATATAAATGTAAATAAGTGGCGATTTTAGCATAAATTATAGTTATAATTGGAAATCCGAGTCGTGTGCTAACTACCATGCAAATGGATCCCCAGTCAATGCTGTTAGAGGGCAATTTTCAGTCACGTCAAATCAACCGATCCATAACCGGTCCACATTCATATATATATATATCTGTAGGTGGGGAAATAGCTATATCTGCTTTCCGAATAACGTGACATTTCCTATGGCGTGCCTTGAATATCTGAGATGGATGTCACGCCCCTCTATATATAATATAAATATCTGTTGTTCTAGATAGATTTCTATCTTTAGCATTAGTGACCACTTGCCCAGTAATTGTTGTTCAAATATTTACCTCCAGATCGTTGGGTATTAAAAATCAAGTTTGTTGATAAAAAACAAATGGAAGTGCATTGAAGCCCATAAACAATTTAGCACATAACTATTTATATAATTGCCTAGAAGTTATAATACAGTTTTTTGTGAATTATTAGTACACATTCTAATGCAATTATTAATAAATTCAAATTCCCTTGAAAACGTATTAAATACCTCTCCTACTTGAGTAACACATTAGGCAAATTGCTAAATTCTGTAAATTGCAATTGCATTTCATTCATTTTAAACACTTCCCATGAAAAACTACAAATTCCTTTACAAAAGTCAACAAGCTGAGCATCGCATAAATCAAGCACAAAAGAAATCCCGCCAAAGTGTAAATCAAAAATTCATTTCAAATGATTAATAGCTGCACATCGTTTCAGCGATATTCGTTAATGACACTACAAATACTATATAAAAACTACATATATTCGCTTGGGTTTTAATAAATGCTGTAAGGCGAGACTCGTTTGCCTCAATAAAATCAAGAAAATGTCTGCGGGCGCCAAACTGTTCTAGCTTCGCATAAAATATGCATGAAATATTGCGAAATTGCCTTCGAGAAGCAGAAACAAGTTGACAAGCGAACGCTACGCTGCTCGGCATAAATTCTCTAATTAACGGTTGCGCCTCAAATATTTTATTAAAAATTATAATTCGCCAGTAGTAAAAGTGGCAGAGAAATATGAGTTTGCGTGCGGCCTAACCATAAAGCATTAGCATTAATATCAGCCCAGGGGAATAACAAAATCGGAGACTTGCGTGGTTGGCTTTAAACAAAAAATTGGTTAACTGCCTGATTTGCTTTCACTATTAGAACCCCTTTTAAGACCACACACCTTGGGTAAACCACATATCAAATATATGTAATTATTGTTAAATGGATTTTGTAGTAAAGATTATAGAAACAAAATATTTGTGGTGTGTAGAAATTATAGTAAAACTAGGAAGACGCCTAACATCGTTGGCAAACTCGTTGAGAAAATTAAGATTCTTATTCTGACTTTATTTTAATATCCAAAGCAATATAAAAAGAGGCAAACAATATAGTTAAAACACTGTTAAACAAGCTTAACCCTTTTTTTAAGCTCATAACAATTCACCTGTAAAACATGAAAACATTTTGTTATATCAAATAAACAACAAAAGCTCTTAAATATTACCTTTATTATCTAAATTTCCCACATAAAAAGTGTTTTCTTATTTTTTCTGACTGTGTATTCTACTCAAAGCACTCGGGTGGTCCATCATCATAAGGCACCCCTCGAGCAAATTGCATACCTCGACCCGTCCGGTTAGAGCCAAAGTCAGAACAAGAACAAGTGACGCCTGGCCAAGAAAAGATACACAGATACACCAGAACAAAGATACTAAGACACAGATACTAAGCACAAAGGTGTGTGTGTGCGAAAGCAACGCACTGAAGGTGTTACCTGCACGCTTTTGATGAGCACTAATTGAGCTCAAGTTGCATTTTTCTTCTCCTGCCCATTACC